TCATGAGTATCCTTCAGGAGCACTGTTTTCCCCAGTCATGAGTGATGCTGGGGAACGGGAGGGTTGGCTCTGTTCACAGTATTTTGCTGCTTGAGCTATTAAAGGGGAGAACACCAAATTTCTACCAGTGGTTTGTCAGGTGGTGTTCACCTTCAGACCCTGCTGGCTGCCTGTGACAGGATGGGGTGGGATGGAGGGAGTAGGGAGTTGCAGGCACAACGCCTGAACTGCCAGAGAGACGGGGACATGAGTAACCTGAGTTTAACTCTATTTTGGGACTTGGTTTAGTTGCATTTTTAATTACTGTCCCACTGTTTGTGGAATGATATTAAAAAGGGGGAGAGCAATGGGAAGATGTTCATCTGATTTACGTTGTGGGTGAATCCAGACACAGCCAAAAAAGAAGAGGAAAATACCCAATGCCACGTGGATCCAGTGTCCCTGAGGATGGTTCAGGCAGACTGATGATGCCAACAGGGAAGAATCCCAAAATGGGCACATGGTTCTGGGAATGAATACCTGTTCTCCTGTGCTGCCATCACCTTCCTACATACTAGTTAGATTCCTCTTTTTTTGTGTGTTTTAACCATATTGTCAGTCTCAGATGAAGAGATGTGGCAGATGATCAGATGAGGAAGATGCTTTGTGAGATGATTTTTGCATATTCATATGATCAAAGTCTTTAGTAATGGAGTAAATAGAATTAAAATAAACTAATTAAAATAAACCCTGCTTTTTTCATGAGAGCACAACCCTTGGGACAAACTAAACCTCCTCATTAAAGAGCTTTTTCCTTCTATCTGCTGGCCCATAGCTCACTGTTAGGTAATAATGTCAGCTGGATGTGTGAAAGCTTCTGCAGTTTGGGAGTGAACCTTAATGATTTAACTTTGTTGTTCTAAGTGTCAAACTGGTGAGGAGAACACGTGTTCCAGGGTGTTTTTTTACTCGGGTGAGTGGAGAGCAAACGTGTGAGGCGTGGTCATCTCCTGCAGGACAGTGTCACTGTAACTCGACTAATTCATTAATTTCCCACTGATAAATGGTACAGATGCAGCCTGGGTGGGTGGGGAAGGGAAGACAGGTAGCCCTTACACTGCAGAAGGTCGAGGTTAATGCTACCTCCAGCATTATAATGACAGATGGGAGGCAGAAACCTTAATGTACTTGCGATTAGCACATGCTTTCCTTGGCTGGGCGTCCGAAGGATTTAAGAAGCCCGAGTGCACACTTCATTTTAAAACAAACAAATAAAAAGTGTGTGTGGTTATATCGTGGAGCCTTTCAGCTGTTTTTTCTTAAATATCTCCACTTCTGAGTCAAGTACTGTCAGCTGCTTCCTCCCGGAGATGCGCGGGGGTGATCCATCACGAGGGGCTCGCGGTGGGTGATGTATGAGCACGACACAGCGACCTGTGGGCCTTTGATGTGTAACTCATCAAGATAATGTTGGCAAGCATTGTACAAAAAGCAGCATGTTTAAAACGTATTAAGATGAATGGATTCCTCGCTTAAGGAGTGTGAAAGGAAGAATAATAGCAGATTAGCTCCGGGATCCCGCGGTTCTCCCGGAGCCGCACAGCGCGGCGCGGAGGGGAGGATGGAATTTCATCTTTCCTCCCACTCCTGACAGCAAAGTGTCTGGCCCTGGTTTTCCCATTCTTAGGAAACAGGAGTCATATTAAGTCTTATTTTGTGATGGAGGATTTTATCACTTCCAAAAGCGGTTTGGCCAAACCTTCTGAGGTAGCTGGATTTTTTTAAAGTTTGCTCTTGGGTTTTTTCCACTTCGTGGGGTTAACTTGTTCTTCTAAGAGTAGCCCTGATTTTTATCTCATGGAGGCATATTATGGCTGGTAGTGTTTAACAAACATTTTAGATGTGATGTTACGATTAAAACAACATTATTTTTTAGTTCCTTCTGAAAGACACGAAGGGAAGAGATGTAGCAGTGCACCCAAGGCATCTTGTCCATGCAGGATTGCTTCACTCCTTACTTCTTCTATTGCTCTTCATGGTTCATTGTAGGACTCTGCACTCTGCCATCATTTGGGTGATGTGATGTACTTATGTAGAATACCCTGTCTGGGTGCTGTTTTAGCCCAAACGTCCTAAAAGGGTTATATTGAAAATGTCTGTCTAATATGCCTGTCACTGAAATACCAGAATACTTTATAATATTTAATACATCAAAGTCTCTTTTAATACTTTTTTGTGGCTTCCAGAAAATGCACGTATCCTTTTTTTTCTCCTCTCTTTTTATTTTTGAAGGAAAAATCAGAAAAAGTTCTCATTAGGGGCAGAGGGGCTGCAGATCCCTGTTAATAATATAGTGAAAGTCAAGACTTTGTTGGGTCTCACTGTCGTGAGTAAAGTGCTTGTCCCACTTTCATCAAGAAATGTGTGATGGTCTGATAAACTCTGCCCACCAGTGCAGTCTTGACAATGATCTTGCACTGCAGACTGCATAATAATTTTCATTATTTTTAATTAAAGTTGAAGAAGTGCAGACTCCTGCTCAAATTAGGGTTGGTTGTGTTGCCGGAATGCGGTAATTACTTTAATTGATCACAAGATAGTTTCCTTGATCACCAATTAGACCAAATTACCGATCAAGTTTCAAGACGTGAAGAAATGTCCAAACTGATTTTATGTAATAGTGTTTTCATATCTAATCAAATCTAAATAACTTTTCCTTCCAGAACCAGTTGTATTTTCCCAAAGAAAGGTTAAGGCTCTACAAATATAAAGGTGATTCATAAACAATAGCGTTCCAATTCGTTTAATTAGCAAGGGAAGCATTTAGGACCTTAATGGAGATTGCATTGGTAGCTCATTTTCCATAGCTCATTTTCTTAGTGGGAGATGCTTTTTGTGTGTAATTAAAATAAACTAAAATGCAAGGAGTAAGTTGCTGTGGGTGCAAGGAGGGAGAACGTCTCTGAGCAGAGCGGGGCACAAAGGCGGGCGGGCTTCGTCCTTGGCTGGGACACCAGACAGGGGCTGTCGTGGGCAGCTGGAGCAACAAGCAGCAGGACCTGTCCTGGAGGGTTCTCCATGCTGGAATTTATTCCTTTTCGTGAGTTGGACAGCCTCAAGCTGAGCAGTCTTGGTAGGATGAACAGTTTTGGGACCGATGTCCGTTTTATCCAGCCGGAGACTTCACTGACTGCAGGGAGCAGGTAGTGGAGTGGTGTGTTGGTGCATGGACTGGGAGGATTTGGTGGTCCACTGATGGGGAGGATTTGTCACCTGAAGTCTGAAGGAAGGTCTACAGAGCAGATTAATTTTGCAGACTTGTTTGCTTGTGTAATTCTCTCTGTGAGCCTTTGCTGGATAGATGATTGCTGTCCCACAGCCAGTGACTGTTTGTGCAGTGCAACCTGGGTTTGTATCTGGCTGAGTTCCTGGGATGCACAGACAGACCCCAGAAGAACATCCAAAATCTAGTAGGGGTTTTTATAGATTTATTCTTATTTTTTCCCTTGCTGTTTGCTTCTACAAAAGCAGTCTGGCTGCAGACACATCACTAATTTAAACTTCTGGGGACATTCCTGTGTATGGATTGCTGTGTTGGAAATAGCATTGCTGTCAAGGCCATGGACCCTCTAAAACCCATTTAAATCAAGTATCATTCAGCACTATTAATGCAGAAGTTTTCCAAATCATTGCTAACATCTGATGCACAACTTGCAGCTTTCTGCCTCAAAGCATGCTGCTGAAACGTGGGCAAATTTTTAAAAGTAATTGTTCACTCCAAGTAAAACTAAACCGAGCGAGAGCTTCAAGGGAAGTTAGATTTTTCTGAATTTTGGTATGCTCCTGGGTCAAAGAAAAAAAAAGCTTTTTAATTGCTGACAGTTTGGTGATTTCCAAATGACAAACCTCATTGGAGTGATTTTCTCTGATTATAACGTTTGCATTCATTTGACTGGCAAAGCGACCAACAAAGTCATACTTCATCCAGGCACCGATTCTTTTTCCTTTCCTTAAAGGTTTTTGTAATTTGTGAGAGGAAAAAAGACTTGAAACTATTATCAACCATTATATGTTATTCATGGACCACATGTTTGTTTGAAATGGCCATCGCTTGGTGGAATGCGGGCTATATACATTCTCTTCCATAAATTAGCACTAAAAAACTACCTAAATCAGGTAGGGGTTTGTGGAGCTTGTTGTATTATAATCTGAACCAGACTGTGATGTGGATGTTCCTCCAGCTTTGCATCTTAATTCAGGTCCTGAACCCCATGGATGGAGCTTGGTATGAACAAAGCTCGCTGCTGAGGCGTCCTGCTCACGCTCCCGGGCCCTTTGGGCCCCGCTGCATAATTGCATTCTTGATTTACATGGACATTCTAATTTTCTTTATAATGCAGTGATTTGCTCTTAAGTATTTTGGCAAGGGCCTGTTATTATTTTCTTTTTGAGCCTGTGATAAAACCTGTGTCCTGGGGGAGTGTGCTGTGCAGAACGTAGGGGCAGAGGATTGGAAAGCCTATTTTAACTCATTTTAAGGGAAAATATTTCTCATAAAGCAGAGGGGCAAACCCACCTGCTGCCTTTTTCTCCCCAGTAAAATAAATAGCAAAATAGTTAGGCAGAAGGATGTGTTTCTGGTAGCAGTGTTGGGAATACTGTGGCACGATGCTTAATTAGAAATGGCGTGTTTCTAAAATGCATTAAGGGAGAGGGGGTTGGGGTGGATATTGAAAATCCCTGTTGGATGGTGAAGGTAAAATCAGTGCTCTTCTGCAATAGCTTTGAGTCCTGGAGTGAATGACACTGAGCAGAGTGATTTACCAGGGTCTGCAGGGCATGATTTCAGCAGTTTTGGGAAATGCACCGGTGGCATGAGAAGCTGAAATGCTCCTTTAACACTGAGGCGCTGCCTCTGTGGCATCTCGAGGAGTTTTTGAGATTTTGGGTGAATCTTGCCAATCTGCTGCCAGTCCTGGCAGGTAGAAGAGTATTTTCCTCTTTGTTCTCTCTTTCCCTAGGCTTTTGGATTCATGACCCGGGTTGCTCTACAAGCAGAGAAGATGAATCACCACCCGGAATGGTTCAATGTCTACAACAAGGTAACCTGTTCACCAGCCCTAGTTACTCACATGGCAAGTTAAGGAGACCAAACCACTGGTCCATTCTCTCTGCCTTGTTTGTAGCTTGTCTACAAGATACAGGAATGAGAAATGTCATTATAAAGAGAGTTGAGATTTTAAAGAGATGCTGAGATTTGCAGTGGTGGGGAATGGAGAATGAAGCTCTTTGCACCTTCTGCCAACTGTATGGTTTGGGCCTGTGGCTTCACCTCTCTGGGCTGAGATCTAAAAATAAAATAGAAGCCTTTAAGCTCTTATTTAGCCAACCTGAATAAATCACTCTTTTGAAACTACTCACCAGCTCTCCTTCCTTTCTGTGCAGCAGGTCGGGAGCTCAGTGGTGTAGGGTAGCAGACTGTTGGTGTGTTGGTACCTAAAAGGGAGCCTGGCAGTCTCAGTTTAGGTGTGATTTTTTAAAAATTTTAGGCTCCTATGTCTGAACATAGCAGCTTATAAAATTTGTTTATAATATTACCTAACTGATGGTGGTCTCATATTTACAAGGGTCACAGGGATTACTGCAGCCCTCGAATGAAAGGTGCTGTGTGAAGGGGGAAATTATTGCTCTCCCTTTGGTTTTATTTTCTAATACTTCTCATTGCATTGTATCACTTTGTTTGTTGTAGCATTTATTGAATATATGGCAATCCCCCTAAAAATATACTGAAAGAAAAGAAAGGACATGTGGATGAGCAGCCTGCAGCAGGACATCCCACCTCTCCACACAGCTGAGGCTCCCAGCACAGGCCCTTCCTCATCAGCCCCTCAGGTTTAAGGGACATTAAATGGTCACTGGACAAAGTCGTGATCACCAACTCTTCATGATTTTCATGGCTTTCTAGAATATTCAGAATATGTCTTTTTTTTCCTCTTCTGTCTTCCAAAAGTCTCGGCAAAGGCAAGACAAAGTAATGCCCAACTTGGCATCTGGCTCAGTCTAGACAGACCCACGAGGCAGCCACGCCACAGCAGCGTGCACTGGTCTGGTTCTTGTTTTTTTAATTAACCTGCAACAAGCTTAACAATTTCTTCACCTTCAGGGTGCTGGTTTTTAACAAAACACATGAGCCCCTGACCCAGCTCTTGCAGCTTGGTCACTGGCCCAGGTTCTTCATGGAACCGATCCGTGGAATTTATTGTAAAGACCGAGTGATTTAATCGGGCACCTCTTCTTGGATGAAGCCCAGGAATGCAAAGCCTGTGTTATTCTGCGAAGGGGCTCATTTTGGTGAGATTCCAGGCTCTGTTAAACCTCCTCACCTACAGCATCTTCTGGTTTGCCTGAGCAGGGAAGGTCCCGCTCTGTCCTTGCCAGGAGTGAAAGCAGTTCACTGTGGAGACACACAGCATTCCCAGTGAACTCTGCCTGCATGTCAGAGATCAAGATGACTTTGTAACCCCTTTCTTTTGCTTTTTGACAGGTTCAGATAACTCTGATTTCCCATGACTGCGGTGGGCTGAGCAAGAGAGACGTGAAGCTGGCTCAGTTTATTGACAAAGCTGCTGCCTCAGTTTAACCAACATGTAAATTGCTCTAATGCAGTGTCCACCCATATTTTTTGTTTAAATGGTGTCCCTCTTTACTTGTAACCCTGATTTCACAAACCCCTTGAGACAAGATATTCTGTAAAAAGAGTGGCTTAGCTTTGCTGACCTTTAAGACCTTAATCTTGAGACCCTTCTGGATGCCTGTGTTTGTCCTTTCCCATTGCTGGCTCTGCAGGAGGATGCAGCAGATAAACCAGCAATAAATAAGTTTTGAACATATAAATAAGTAAGTTTAGTAACTAAACCAAGCTGGAATGAAACTGGGAGCCCACCCACGTGTGTCAGTGTTCCCCAAGCCTAGAGGAGCTTGTGGCAGCTGCCATGTGATCTTACCCCATGCCTGGCCACTTCCCTCCTATAGATTTGTACCTCTCTGCACTTCACACAGGGTAAGAGCAGCTCAGCCAGGTCAGTCCCCTCTGGCTTGGTTTGGGTTTGGGAGGAACCTTAAAGCTCATCTTGTTCCACCCCCTCCATGGGCAGGGACACCTTCCACTAGACCAGGTTGCTCCAAGCCCCGTCCAACCTGGCCTTGGACACTTCCAGGTGCAGGATTGGATCTTGCAGTTGCCGAAAACCTCAGCTCTGGAACAGCAAATACAAAAAAATCCCGGTGAGCTCCCAGCACTCACGTCAGTAAATGAAGCCTGCTTGGCTTAAGTGTTTGGCCAGGTCAGTGCTCAGCACCTTGCAGGATTGAGCCATTATTTGTGTTGTAATGCTCCAGTACCTGCAGGATCAGGCCGGGGTAGCTTGGCCGGGTGCCCGGAGCCCCAACCAGAGCTGCTGGCGGTGAAGGAAGCGGCATTAGCAGGATTCTTGCTAAGCTGGGCTCAACTGAACCTGTGCTCACCCTTCCCTTTTTTTTTTCTGTAGCTACAATTACTCATTGCGAACGTTGTGGCGGGAGCTGCAGATCCCACTGTCAAGGTTTAAAACCATTCCTTCCGCGGTTTCCAAGTCTTTGTTTTTATCCCGTGATCCTCACCCAGACAGATTCCCAGTGCCGGCAGGGAGATTTCACCCTGCTCCAGGCTCCCAGGAGGGCCTCTCTCCCTGCAGTCCCACTGCTGAGTGTCCCCAGCGTGCTCTGTCATGCCTTGGGAGCAGCTCCGGGCTCGGAGCTCCCGGGAGATTGACACCTCCGAAATGCCGGAGCGCATTGCTGGGATGACCCCGGCGGCGCAGCCACCAGCTACTGAGAGCTGAGGCGTGAGTGCCAAACCCTGTATCGGGGGGATGTGCGAGGTGTGTGGTCTCTCGGGTATTTCGGGCTGCAAAATGCCACGAGCTGCCACCCAAGCGCTCGCGTCGATAAAATAAGAAAGGTATTTTTTGTAAATCCTTGGCGAACGCCACTGTCACGTGCTAATTAGTTGCAGGAAGCGAGATGTTGGGGTTTGTTGTCAGAAACCCTACTTGGGATATCGAGTTAATACCTAAAAAGAACCCAAATTCAGGCTGCGTGCTCAGATGTCCTTCTCTCACAAGTGCCTTCCCCCAGTGGAGTGGAGGATTTCCCCGATATGGTTTGAAAATGGTCACTGTTGTGAGGAGTGAATAAAACTAAAACAAACAACCAGGCTGTGATGTCTCCTGTCACTGGTGGGGAAGTGAAATGAGCTTCACCCAAAGTTTTGACAGCGTCTCTAATGAACTGTGAAAAGCCTGCTGTTAGGAATTGATATATAACTGTGTGTGCGTTGAATAAAACCAATAAAATCAAATTCCTCTTTTGTAATTTGTTTCTTTATTATTGTACATATGTGACAAAGCTGTTTAGTTTGGAGATAAATTTAAGATAAATAATATTTAGTTGCTGGGAGGTCTTTGGTTTAGAATATTGATATTTATTTACATACTCTGAGGAAAAAAAATCCCCATCAACTGATTCAGCTCAGAGAACTGCACTGTCTGGCTATGGCACAGAGCTGTCCTGGGGCTGTCGAGAATCCTGATCTGCAAAGAGGCAAAAATACTCAGGAAAGGGAAGGATGGCTTTGAAATGCTCGAAGTTCTATCATCAGTGCTTGTTTAGCCATAATTTCAGCCATAATTTAGTAATTTTTCGTTAACTTCTGGGGCATCCCACAGACCTGCAAGTGAGGTGAGCATTGCTGTGTAGTACTAGGGAATAAACAGCTTCCACTTTCTTTTCCAGTGAGTACTGACTTGGGAGGCACTCTCACAGTGAAATCCTGGCTCTGCAGATGCCATAAAGAGGATCTTTCCTTATACAAACACCTTTTGTTTTGGGGTGGTTTGGTTTTTAGACAGGTTTCCCATCATTTCTGAAGTGCGGCCCCAAAGTGCACTGAACTTCACCTCCCACCCTGTCTTGGCAGCATCCCCAACTTTCTGCAGAGCTGGGCAGGGGAGTCCCGTGATGCTGGGGAGCCCTGACCCACCTTCTTGTAGCTCCCTAAATCCACGGCAGGCAGCTCCCAGCCACTCCATGCTCCCACCTCTCTCCAGCTCCTCCCCACCTGTACGTGTGCGGCCAGCGCGGGGTGCCGGGGGCCATGGGGAGGGGAGGCACAGCCCCCCTGGCTGAGCTGGAACTTCACAGCAAATTTAGACAGCAAGGATTTAGTGACAGGTGCTGGATTTGGGCCAGGAAACTCAGCCTAAGGCTCCTTCTCTTGTGAAGAGCATCATCAGCCCAGCTCTGAGCCGAAGCAGCCGGTGTGCAGGGGTTGGGTCCTTCCCAGGTGATGGCATTGCTGGAGCTGTGCTGCTCTGGGATGTTACAGCCCGAGCAGCTGCCCAAAATACAGCTTCCACTGCTGTGCTGGCTCCTCCTCGGGGTCAGCCTGGTACCTGCTCCCCGTGAGCCCACAAAGTTGCACCCCAAGGCAGCGTGTTGCTGCTCCTGCAAACTAATCACTAGTCACAGCTTCAGCTCACGGCTGCCAGCCACCAGGTTAAACACTCCCCTGGAGTTTTGGGTTTTTTTTTGCTTTAAGACTAATTGTGGATTAAAATATTTGGATAATCCATCAGAAACAACCTCCTTGCAGGCAACTTCCCTGCGTTGAGACTGATATGACTCACTGTGTCCCCTCCACCAACCTTGTCCACAGCGTATGAGAAATGCCGTCCCTGGGAGACCCTCCAGTGGTGCTCTGTGGCCACAGGAAATTAAAAAAGCAAAAACTCAAGGCTGAGAGATGCCTGCAGTGTGCTGTGTGGTTGGGATTGGTGCTCAGCTCCTGTGAGGCTGGAGATCAGACCTTCACAGGACCGTCTCTGAAACAGGGCCAGCAAATAATCCCTTTCTTTCCCCGCAGTGGGAGCTCAGGTCCAGTAAACTGCAAAAGTCATATTGAAAGGAGAGGCAGTGGCATCAGATGTGCTGCAGGGCTCTGGGGATGGGCTCCCACAGCTCTGCAGGAACATGTTAGAAAGCAAAAGTCTATCTTGGTGTGTGAGTCACAGCTCGGCCTGGCTGCACAGGGATTCCTGCTGCCCTTCCTCCTCCTGCCTGCCCAGACTGCAGACCAAGGGGGGGTGGTGGAGTGGCTGAAGAAGAGGTGGGTTTTCCGTTAATTAACCCCTCTCACCTGGAGCAGTTTGGACATTAGAAGGCTAATGAGGACATGTCCTCACCCAGCTGCCTCTCCAGGCTGGAAGGACAGACTGATGTGGTTACTTTTCAGATTGTGACATGTCCCTGGCTCCAGGGTGGGGCTGGAGGGATCACAACATCCCTTGGAATGTGTCAGGGCTTCTGTGCTGGTGACCACTGCCTGTTCATTGGTCTTGTCTGGAGCCCTGGGGGTTCAGCAGAGCAAAACCACAGGGTGGATCCCATGGCAGTTTTGAGTTGGTTTATGTTCCCTGGATGGGGCTTGGCCCAAGGTCAGGGGTTCTTGCAGCATCCTTGGTTTTGGGTGACGAGCACAATTCCTGAGTTTGCCCAGTCCCTGCTCCAGCACTGCCTCCTTACTCAGTCTCGCAGCCTGCCAGGTCCTCAACCCTGCCCTGCCTTTCCCTCCTCCACGGGGCTTTTCAATCCTGCAAAACATAACTTTGAAAACTTTGCACTTTCTGCAACTTCTTACATGTGTGTGCATCTCCTCTGGCCCTTTAAGCCTCAGGTTAATGAGGGGATTGTCAATTAACTGAAGTTAATGAGTTCTTCTGCATGACCTACTTTCAGTTTTCACCATTGTTTGCTCCAAGAAACAAATATTTGTGGCTCACTCCAAGATGCACCTTGGGATTAACCAAACTCGTGTGTGTCCTGGAGCAAGTGCTTGCACAGCGTCCAGACTCGCAGCACAGAGATGCTGACTCATGGAAATGGCAATTGTTAGTGCTCTTTCTCCTCAGGATCCAAGGAAAGGAGCAAACACGGACGTGAGTGTCCTGCTGACATCAAAGGCTGTGTTTATGTAAAAGCTGCTCACTCTGAAGATCTGTTGCAGACTTGGGCTGTGGTGAGGAGCTGACAACTCGTTTGCAAACGAACTTTGGAAGGAGCCCAGGCTGCCAGTGGTTGTCCAGTCAGAGCCAGCCAACCCACATGGACTGCAGGGATGCTGGAGCGTTGGGAGAGCAGAGGTCTCTGCTTGGGCTCCTGCTCCGCTTCCAGACCTGGTGGGTGCACAAAGAAAGGAGGGTGACCCCCCAAAGCTCAAAGTCACAGTTTTTGCTGTTGGACACTGGAGCCAGGTGACAGGGGGGTGTGATGGTCTCCATCCCACTGCTGGCTGCTCCCACCTTGGCACGGAGGCAGGCTGGTCCCTGGGATGCTGGGAGGGATCATACCCAGTGTCTGCACACCTACTCCCCCCGGTAGGAGCAGGTGGGTGCCTAAACTTCAACCCAATAAATTAAGAATAATCAATGTCTGCTGGTTATACTGCTAATGCTGGAATTTGATTTACCCAGGACTTGGCCCTGGAGCTTGCCTGTGTGGTTTCTTCTGGAAGTGACCTCATAAGGTGGTGACATCAAACAGCAAGTTCCACCCTCCCACTCATGCTGAGAGTGACTTGGGGAAGGTAAGAAGCACCCAACTGTTCCATGGATCCATCATGCAGGTGGCACATGGAGCATCCAGATCCTTCCAGGGTGGATGAATTGCCTCCAGTTTTGTTACCAGATCCTTACATTACCTATTTGAGGCTGTTGCAAGGTGTGCTTCCATGTGCCTTGGCCAGGAGGGGATGGGGGGCTGGCACCCATGGCTGCTTGGGGTGGCTGTCAGGCCACTGTCCTTCCCTGTGCCACTGCCTGCACTGGCTCAGAGTCTGGATAAAATGCATTTCAGCTTCAGATCCCTTTGCCTATTTGACACTTACCATTCTTAAAATGCCATTGTCTGGTCCTTTCCACAGCAGCCCTTTCCCCCTCGTGGTTTTGGCTCAGCACCCTTTTAATACTCAATTTTCACATTGAAAAATCTCTTTTGGTCACACTCCTTGATTTCCTTGTCTTACACAAGGCAGCTACTGTAGGCAAACCTCTGAGCCTTAATTATATATCCCAGTAAAATATAACCAGGCCTGGCTAATGTCAAGAAACCCAGTCATGAGCATCAGAGGTTTCCAAGAGCTCTGGCTGCAGGACCAGGCTCCCTGCAGGGAAGTGAGTGGCACATGCCTGGCACTCTGAGGCACTGGCACAGGTTTCCCAGAAAATTTGTGGCTGGCCCATCCCTGGAAGTGTTCAAGGCCAGGTGGGATGGGGCTCTGAACAACCTGATTAGTGGGTGGCATCTCTGCCCATGGCAGGGGGGTGAAACGAGATGGCCTTTAAGATCCCTTCCAACCCAAACCATTCTGGGATTCTGTGACCTCAGGTGCCACCATCCTCCTCATTGCCTTCCTCCCATATGTCTTACCCATGGACAGCACCACACACACCCACTGGAGGGGACAACCAAAGGTTTCCAGACCCTCCACATCCTCCAGCTCACCGAGGACAGCAGTGGGATGAGCGTGGAGCACTGCTCCACAGTTAAGTCACAGCAGAAAGGGGGGGATCCAAGCCCAGGACTCTCCTGTACCCACATGTCAGGGGCTGGCTGGCCCAAGAGGGGCTGATGCTTGTGGTAGCCCATGAGAAAAGGTGAAAATTAATAATTCCTGATTTTTTAAGAAGCCCATGGCTTGTCCATTGTATTTCTCCCCAGTTTCTCTATCCCCAAAGGAGGGGAGAGATTTTTGTTTTTTACTACAGCAGAGTAGACACACACACAAAAAAAACCCCATATAAAACATAGGTCATGTCCTATTCTTGGTCTGTGTGTATTTTTCTCTCCAGCACACCATCTCCTACTTAGTTTTCTCCTGACGACTCTGGAGGTTTATTTTTCAGCAAGGAGCTTATGTGGGCAATGAATGCTCAGCCAGCATTTCTGCCTGTAATTAATTGGCTGGGTAGCCCACCAGAAGTGGGATATTTATTGGCACAGGGCTCTTATAACGTTCACTTCTGAGCCTTCGTTCCTCTAGTTTGGATCGTAAACTTCACTTATCACCAGACTTTTATATGTTAATTATTCTGTGTCGCTGGGAGAAGGGAGGACACGTAGGAGTGCATGAAATAATAAATAATTTAGGCACGGGGGATCAGATGCTCTGGTTTGGGCTGACTGATTATAAGAGAGAAAACTGATGCATGGCAAAATTGGGGAGATTTAAATCAGGGTAAGTGTGTGTTTGTTGGTTTGAGCCTCACGCCATGCACTCGTGGAACTCACTGCCAGGAGATGCCTCGTCTGGGGACCACAAGGAAGAAAAACTGTAGGATAAGATTTGGCACCATTGCCCCCTGAGACACTTAAAACATTGAGGTGCTTTGAAAAAAATCCCAGTCAGCACAAATCTACCAGTTTAAGAGCTTAAACGCCTTTGAAAACCTGGGCCATGCAGCACTAGGGTTTGATGGAAGTCCGTGGGACTTAACACCTGAGGGACTGGGACCACTGGGAAATTGCATCCTGGCTTTGGGAGAGAGTGCCTAGAATGGCATTGCTGGGGGAAAAATGCCAAAGAGAAAAATTCTTCAGGGTCTCACAGTCCCTTCCCATTCCAGGGGTGCTATAAATATCCTGCAAAGCCCCACCAGCTCCAAGGGCATTTGGTACTTGGCTTTGTGTCCTGACCTGAAGGGACAAGTGCCCTGAGCCACTTGGCATCCCAAACACCTCTTTGCCTAAAATTTGTTTAAAATGCGCTAGAACCATCTAAATGCATTTTGCTGAAGGTGCAGGAGGCTGTTTATGCCTCTGTGTGTATTGTTATTTATTAATTGAAGCCTAAATTAGCCCTCAACAGGTTAGCAGTATTTAATGCAGAGAGCTCAAACATGCAACACATTCTTGGCACGTTTCCCTTTATTAATTAAAAACCTCTTTAAAACACTCTGCCTTCCACCTTGGAGCAATAAATTTCCACCTTGAGGAAATAATTTCCTTGTTGTATTCCATACAGAGACGTTCTGTTAGCTGCAATCCCCATTTCAGTGTAGGCCCCATTCAGCCTTATTTCAATTTCAAAATAAACTTTCAAAATGCCAGGTTTTTCTATTAAAAAAAAAAGAAAAGGAAAAAAGCTAAAAAAGAAAATAATCAACTTTTCTGCTTTTTAAAAAATATATTTGGGATTAATTCTGATGTAGTTTACTGCTTGTGCAGACTGTAAGCCACAAAGTTCCCTCTTAATAAGAGCTCACAGGACTCTGCAGTGGTTCCTGAAGCAGGAGAAGAAGCCTTGCTGATCCAAAATGAGCTGATGGCCCTGCATGGGAGGCACTGGCCTGCCTGCAGTTGCTGGGAGTGTTTTACAGCCCCCCTGCCACCCCCAGCTCTGGGTGGCTGGTTTTCTTTATGACCACGTGCCCCAGCCCAAACCTGCCCGACCCCATGACATAACTTGGCAAAAATGTCACCTGATTTGGGGGGTTGAATGGCTTTTGTTCCCCTGCTAGTCCTGGGCTGTGCCTGCCAGACTCAGAAGGATGCACAGGACTGCAGAGCAGTGGAGAATGTTGCTGTTTGGGCCAAGAAACAGAAGATCCCAAAAGGTCTTCTGGGGTTCTTCAGGGGAAGAATATGAGCAGCCACCCAAGTCCCGCTGCAGCAGACGGGCTCTGGGCCACCAGCACTGCCTGCGAATGTCAGATGTTGCTTAGCAGGGCAAGACATGGATGAAAAGCTTTCCATGGAGGAAAAATTTCCTTTTCTTTCCTTGCCCATTTTTATAATAATCCAGGCTGTGTATCCTATAGGCCTTTTTGGTAGGCCCATCACACGTGCAGCTGAAAGTATTGTGGCGGCACAGAGCGCTTAAAGTATTACAGAGGTGGGGAAAAAGCTCTTAATGGGTTTTGATGGGTTTTGCCTGAGTTTGTTTAACTTCAAAGAGAAGTTTAAAAAGGAATCCTTTCAGGTCATGTCAAACCAAGAGCCCTGTCCAGCATGGCTTGGACTCCCTTTCTGTGGGTGCTCGAGGGAGGTCGTGCTCCTTCCCGCGCTCTCGCAGCCCGTCGATGTGACCTATCCAAAATGCTACCATGGACTTGAAACACATGGTGCAGGAGAGCTGAGCACTGCTTGATGAAGGGCTTTTGCAAAGCTGACTTGAAATAAATGCAGTAAAGCTGTCACTGAAATGTAAATGATTAGAGCAATGTGACTCCCTGTTTCCCCCAACTCTTCTGCTCGTTCTTGCTTTTAGCAAATGTAATTTAAAAATAATCAGTTCAGGATGGCTTGGTTGAGAGTGTTCTTGCCTTTGGGCCAGAGAATCACTGGTTTCAGTCCTAGACTGAGTGGGCCAATGGTTGGGTCCCACACAAGGGCAGGGGTGGAGGTCCCTGTGGGGCTGCAGGACCTGCCTGCCTGGGTGGGCACCGGGGACACCCCAGGGTGCCTCCCTTGGGACAGGCACCCCCATCCCATTAGTGCCCAGGAGCTCCTGCCCTATCTGGCACATCTGCCTTCTCCAGAAGTGCCCTGGGAATGGATATTTTTCTTGGGATGAATGGATATTTTGAGGCTGTTTTCCCTGGGGAAGGCACCAACATGTGGTGCATTCTAGAAATGGACTGGATTCATCCCCTTCAGGAGGACTAAGGTCTCATTTCTCAGGACATGCAGTGCTGGTGTGGGATCGGGGTCCATCACAAATGGGATCAATATCCTGCTGGAAAATTCACTGTTGTTCCTTGTGCCCAGCCCTGGCATGGCCTGGGGTTTACAGGGTCCTGGGTCTCCTCTGGGTGCACAGTCCCAGACTCCATCCTCGTGATCTGGCTCACATGTTCCATCCCTCAGCAAGCCTGGGAGAGAGGAGAGAGCACATTCCATGTTTATGGGGACAGTGGGGTTGGAGAACGTGTTTACATTGAAGTTTGGGAGTAAGAAGAACTTGCCTTCTTACAGCACTAGTCCAGGCTGACCTGGGCTTTCCCTCAGCAAGGGACTTCTCTGGATCTTATATGGGGAACAACTAACCCCAAGCAGCAAGTCTAAACCATGTAACCAGAAAAACCTCCCACAAATCCCCCAAATGGAGACTGCTGAGTTTTACATATCTTGGGTTAACCTTAATGTGGTACAAGCCTATGATCACAGTGTGATACCTATTGTTTAAAAAACCCACAGTCTGGCCTGGAGTCCAGAAAAAAAATCCCTGGATCTCAAAAATTCTCTTTTACCCTGGACTTCAGGTGACTGTGGTTACTGTCAGGAGTTTCTGTGTTATTTCCTCCCCACCACTGATCAGGACTAGGGCTCCTGAAAACTGTTTTGTGTGCACATGGCACACGTTGTGAAGCCACTCCTGGGTTGCCCTTCTGCCATTGTCCTCTGATCTTTTGGGAGAAA